TTCATGTTATTCCTATTTATTACCATAAAATATGAAATCTAAAAAAATGCTTTCAATACTAATTTTTATAACACCTTGCACCAAGGTGTTATTCTCAGAATAATTCTCAGAATGATTCCCCATATTTGATTGTTCATTATCATAGTAAGATACCATATCATGGGTAACTTTTATAGAAGTGTGTGATATGCACATTCATTTATTTGTACATTTATCATTATTATAGAAAAACTAGAGGACAGATAAGCAAGAAGAAAAAATGACACTTAAAATCTTGCTCTTGAGTAATGACCACTGTTAAAATTTTTGTAAATATTCATGTTCCATGCAAATATATTTATATGTTATACATACTGTAACTTGCCTTTCTCTTTGCTAATACCTCATGAATCTTCCTTTGTCAATAAAAGTATCTATACTATTTGAATAATTTGTTAGTATTCCCTGGACATAATAATTTCTTCACTCTTAATTTTATTATTTTGTTTTTTTTTTATTATAAACAATACTGTTATGAACCACTTCCTAGAAACATACATCTTTGTGCCCTTATCTATCCCTCAGAAATATTCCCATATATTCGCTATATCTATGTTGAAGGGTGTGAACCTTAAGGCTTTTGATACATATTGCTCTAATGTCCTCAAGAACACTTGTACTGATATATACTCTCACAAACTGTTATCTGAGAATATTCCTTTTCCACATCCATGAAAATGCAAATTATTCTTTTTAATCTATGCAGGCAGGTGAGCAGTATCCTATTGTTTTAATTAGTATTAGTTTCTGATTCAACATTTATGTATATTTACTGGCCATTTTATTTTGCCTATACAAGTTCTTGATCAAGATTATCTATTGGTTGGGTCTTTTATGAATTTGAGAATGCTCCTTATGAATTAAGGGTATTTGTCATGCATGTTGTAGTTTACCAGTTTGCTTGCCTTTTAACTATTTATGGCATTTCTGCCACACCAAACTTTAAGGACTTGGAAAAGAAACAAGATGTGCCTCCTTGTGCTTTCCTCTTCTGTGCTGCTATGTGCAAAACTGGTGGTAACATTAGGATCCTTGTTTTATGGGAAGGACTTCAGTAGTTCTCCACTAGGCATGAGGCCAGCTGTTTGAGACAGCAAAATAGAAGGGAAACAAGGGAGAAAAACAGTTCCTTTGCATGATAATAACTAAATCTAAAAAACAAATTGGAAATAAATTTTTGAATTTTATCAAATGCCTTTTACACTGAATGAGCTATTGACATTTTTTGGTGTGTTTTCATGTACTAATATTAAATAAAACCTTTCTTGTTCAGTTCATAAAGTAGTACATAGAAGTATAAAATAGTAATTAAAAGGACTAGGAAGTCAGATTGCTGCTACCTCAATCGTGGCTCTGCTAGTTACTAGCTGTGTAACCTACCACAGTGACATCGTGTCCCTATACCTCAACTACTTCATGTACAGTATGGGAACAGTAATAGTACACTTGCCTTACAGGGCTACTGTGTGGATCAAATAGGGTAATGTGCATGGAACACGGCACATAATAAGTACCAACAGTATCTATTATTCTTATTAATACACTGTTGGACTTGATGTTCACTTTACTTATTATGAATTTATCATGTTATATTCCTAAGTGAAATCAGTTCTTTGTTTTGGCAATCCATGTTATTTGATCTCTGGATTACATTAGCTTTAAAAATATTTGGGAAGCCTTCCTTCGGTCTCCATACTCAGGAAAAATTAACAGTTTACAGAAGTATTTTTGTAAAATGCTGCTTTGTATATCAGCCAAATAACCTACAAAATTTTCAGGCAAGAGGGAAAACAGGCAGACGATGTCACGGAAGGAGTCAGAGTAGCAGATAGGAGGAGATCAGATGTCTGGGTAGCCCCATCTCTGCCATGGCCATGTGGATCTCAAGGACACAGTGAGGATGCTGAACTAACACCGAACACGTCTCTCCTACCTCTGTGATGCCTCTGAGCAGATGTCTGACATATACAACTAATTAGTTCCCCCAACTTGTTTTAATTACATCTATCCCAAGGGAGAAAAAAACCTCACAGTATACTTGTTTTATTAATACTACCCACCCCAACATTTTAACTGAAATGAGTATTAAGTGTAATGAAACAGCAGAAAAGGAAGGATTACACAGAAATATGTTCTCCTAGACAAATAAAGACCGGGATTTAAGAGTTGAATATGAATACAAAAACCTCAAGTTTTCAAGAATTACCAGTCAGGTGTGTCCAGAGGTACCGAAAACTTAATTTCAATCCTTGGGTTCACTCCTGTATTACATCAAACTCCTAGATGGTTGTTTGAAGGATTTCCTCTCCTCAAAAAGCAAAAAGTATTATTCTAAATACAGTATAAACAAAAGTAGTAAGTCCTACCTCAAAAAAAAAAAGTCATAATTTAGCCAGATTTCAGAAAATAAGCTCTTGGGAAATTTTTACTTAAGAGTAAAATTATACCTCATTTAAATTATACCATATTCAATTAAAAAGACAAGTAACCAATAAAGATGAAAATAACAATAAGTATTAATCACTACCTTTTACAGAGCATTAGTATGTGACAGGGATACAGTACTTCATGTTTATTTCATCACTTAACACTCCTAATCACCCTATGAAGTATTTCTTTACTTTTTAACATAGGAGGAAATTGAGGCTCACAAAGGGTAAGTCATTTGGCCACTATACTGGGGCTAGGATTATAATCTAAGTTTCAAAGCCCATCCTTTTTAATATTTGCAGTCAAATGAATAGGTGAAATTAAATTAGGCCATATAATTGTATTCAGAATCGTATTTCTTTTAACTCTAATACCTACCACTGACAATGGAAAGGTACCTTTAAAATATACCATTTTACAGAATAATCATCCTGGAAAGCATACTAAACTGAAAAAGAGCCTAAAGAAATGTTACTTCCAAGATTAGTTATCAAGTTTGCCATCAAAATAAGTATGAATATTATTTTATTGGATTATGTGTAAAGGAGTCAAAGATAAATTCTAGATCAGACATGCTGACTTCAACCCAAATTTATTCAATTTTTTAAAAAGTAATAAAAACATTTTTATTAAACACTTCTATTGAACATGTTTAGGTAAAATACCTTGAGTTTATAATCCCAAACACCAGTGACTAAGAATAAAAATGGAAAAATAATTTGAATCTATTTTCATGGTCCACATACATTGAAATGCAAAACAAATATAATAGACATATGAATATTTGGGCTTCAGAGAAAATATCAGGAGACTGACACAGGCATAAGGAATCTTAAAAATGTCATCCTATATGATTACAAGCAGATTTATATACTAGATTTTGTTTTATTATACTGTACTTCCCAAAATTATAAATATTTTAGGTATAACCCGATTATAAATATAAATTCAGTAATTCTATCTTAACTTTAGTTAAGGAGAAATGAAAATGTATTACGATAGTTTGACATTACTTAAAGCTGATTTGGCATAGTAAATTTGAAAGGAACACTTCAACTGAAGCAATTTTAAAGGTAAAGATAAAGGTTATATTTAAGTAAAATAAAGTCAGGAAGATTTACTTAAAAGAAGACTGGAAAGAGTCCCCTTTATAGCAATCTTTGAAAAAAAAAATATATATATATATATATTCTTTCAATTTAAAAGAAGACTGTCATCTAGGTGAGATGTTTACAGTAGATATGCAATAGATATACAATATTTTCCCTAAAAAGGGTCTTTTGTATCAGATCTCAAAGTAAAAAATAAATTGAATCCACTTTTGTTCAGTATTTAGGTCACACCTCAAAATAAATATATTAATTCTACCAAGTAAAACTGCTAGCATGAAAGCTCTGAAAATTCTTTAGCTTAAGATATTTTTCTCCAAAATCTATATAATAATTAAGATTTATGCTTATTTTATCTATGAATACAACTTCAACTACGAAATTCAGTTCAATACTCTGCGTAAGTCAGATAACAGAGAAGCATGCTACAAACCCTTTGCTATTTCTCTCCCAACTATCTAGCCATGAAAAGGGAAAGAATAAAATTTTTAAATAAAGCTCCTGAATTTGCCCAAATATACTTTTAGAAACTTACATTTAAAGTATAATCATCTCCAAAGTGACTCTGCTTTCCACAACCTTAGAAAAAACCGGGTATTCCAAAATAGGAGGGATTTGACAGTAGGACATACTGAAGTAGGTGAAGCTGAATGGTTGGTCACATATAATAATCTTGCATAGATTTTGTGTTCAGCAAAATGTTTGCAGATCATGGGCATAAGATGATGAATTAACATGGAGAGGATCTTTGAAGACCAATGAGAACACTGGAAAGCAAAAGGCTGAAAAACTGAAAATTTCAGAACATGTTCCCCTGAAATGGTACATATTTTTCTCTTCAGATGAGAAAAAGTTGTAAGATGCATTTTCAATTCTGGTTTTTCTTAGGAAAACAATAATGATCTGTGCCAGAAGATTTCTTATCTTGAAATGAAAGTGTACGAGGGAATGGACTCTTTAAAACATATATACCAACCATACCTTGATGAAATTTATTCTCCAGTGTGGAGTAAGGGCTCTCCAGTTCTAAAGGTAAAAATTGGTCACTTTATTCTATTTTAAAAGATATACAGATCCAATCTCAGCATAGAAGATACAGGTTCAAAGTCTGTTCTTGGTTATTCCAAAAACTCTGCTTGCAAAGTGTTCATAATTTTGACAAACCCTATAAAACTCTTCCACAATGAACTTTTTCAACCTACTGAACAGAATTCATGCCCACACTCTGTTCACTTGAGCAGCGTTTGTCTCTGTGAAGCACATCAAAATCACTCAAACATCAAATTGCTGATTTGATAGAATGATTTATTTTCCCATTACAGGAAAGTCACGAGTGACTTGTTCTGAGGTACGTTTTTGAGCTATGAAGGACATCGATTAGAAAGCTCCACACTTGAAGGTTTCTCTTTAGATGGTAACATTTTATGGCTGGACAGTCTCTGCAGGTACCAGATTTCCTGTTGTATCCAACTGCATACATTTACATGTGCATGCAGAAACGGGACACTCTGCATGGTCCCTAAAAAAAATAGGTCAAGTAAAAATTAAAAATCTAAATTAAGCATAAACATACATACATTTATCTATATACCTATCTGTATGTAGAATGGTATTTTAAAAAATACAGGAATTAAGACCCAAAGAATTAAACAAAAAATGACTGACAAGCTGAACTGGGAAGAAAGTTACTAAAAAGTAAATAGCTTTACCTTTTAAATATACAATAGACACCTTATTTATAGTTATGAAGTTGACAGGGATGTGCTCAGAGTTGTAATTAAAGCCAATGTGACAAACTGGGTATAAAAGTTACAGCAATGAGGACAAAGGGCCACTGGCACTATTCAAAGCAGAAGTTAAACATGGCTTGAGTCTCCAGTGCATCGAATGCATACTTACTATATAACAAGTTTATTTAGAAGATAACTGATGCGGTAGTTTGATATGTATACTCTGTCATTTAATTTCTAATTTCAATCACACACTAAGATTGGATATTAGGTTAGCTGTAAAAACTGTAAATTCACACATTTAACCCATACATAATATTTAAACTATTTCTTATATAAGTATTAATCTTATAGTTTAAAATTACATAGGATATCTAATGATAGAAATGTTGACACCACCTTTGTTAACTCCAACGACAGCAAAAAAGAAATTTATCCTTCGGCTACATAAACCTGAACTATTTAAAAGGCCATCTGTGCTATCACCTCCAACTCCAAGCCTATTAAAGAAGAAATGTGCTGATTACCTGAACCAACTAAGCATATGGCCAGCATGTCCACCATGCCTGCAATTGTGACACCATGTGAACCAGTTGTTAAATTGAGCTAATTTTTTATCCTTGCTCAAGTCTACTTTTTCATCTGATTTGGATCCTCCTATGGGTTAAAGAAAATCATCTTCATTAACTATTATCACAGAATTTTATTCAAAGCTTTAACTTGAAAGTTATTTCTAAAACTATGTTAAAATACAAATCATACATCATATTGAAATAGCTATTTTAATGCTACGACCCAGTTTAGACTGAAAAACTACTGAATAACAAAAGTTTCCTTACATTTTTAATAGTCCCAAAAAAAGGAAAAATATAAATTACCAAACCCACTAAGAAGCAATCTGAATTAACCTCAGAAAAGCAATCAGTTTAAAATCTTCCCACAGAGAAAATACCAAGCCCAGTTTACAAGTGAGTTCTACTAAACCCTGAAGGAACAGGTAATTTTCATCTATACAAACTCTTCCAAAGAACAGGAAAAGAGAGAAAATTTCTCAATGTACTTCCTGATGCTGGTATAACTTTGCTAAAAGCAGCAGACCAAGATAACGTATGAAAGGAAGATTATAGGACAATCTCTCTCCTGAACAGACATAAAAATCCAAAGGAAAACGTTAGCAAACAGTATTAATTAGCAATTCTATTTCTAGGTACATAGAGAAACTTATGTACATGCACAAAGGAGTCATATGCAGTAATGTTCGTAACAGTATTGTTTGTAATAGTAAAAATCTAGAAACAACCAAAGCATCCATCAATAATAGAATGGAAAAACTGTGTTAGAGTCAAGAATGGAATATCAAATATTAATGAAATGTGAATAAACTACAGCTATATTCATTAGTACAATTAAAACTAAAAGAAAAAAAAAAAAGACCCCCCCCCAAAAAAAAACAGTGTTGAGCAAAAAAAGGTAAGTCAAAGGATATATTCCTGAAGATTCATTCATATGGAATTTAAAATACAGACAAAACCAAACATGTGATAGAACATACAGATAAGCAAGAAACCAAGTAACACACAATTTATGGCAGTAGTTACTTCTGGGGAAGAGGAAAGAGGTAGGACTAGGCAGGGAATAACGAGCAAAGGCACTGGTATAGACAATGTTATCTTAAGCAGGCTAGAGGTCTCGGGGATGTTCGATTTGTGTTACAGTTCACAAAAAAGTTTAAGAAAAATGTTTTATTACACATGCATGTTTATACATGTATATCTTCATACACATATTTACACAACTTTTAGTACTCAAAAAATGCTCATTCTATTAATCCTGGCCACCTTAATATTTTTATTGTTGTTGTTCTAAAACAGATCAAAGTATTTTAAGATTGTATATGATTAGAGGCAATAGGAAAAATGATTAAGTAAAAATATTAAGTTTAATGGAGCAATTGTGCTATTAACATATGATGCTGTGCTAGTAACACTTTAATGACCAAAGGGATAGTCTTACAAATAGTTTTTTAAAATATCCATCTGTTTTTGCTAATGATATAAAGGTGAAAGGATGTACAGGTGGTTGAAGAATTTAAGATGTAAATACACTGAAATTCTTCCTAAAAGCTTCATAAAAATGATTAACAATGAAAGGGGAGAGGAAGACAAAAAGAAAGAAAATACAGACCTTTATTTTTTTAAAATAGACCTTTTAAAGGTAACCATTTTATATTGTGTAATAGCTCATTAGTGATTTTCACTTTATTTTTGTAACTTCTAAGATGCAAAAAACAGACTGAATCCAGAACAGTTTATTCCTTATGTTCCTCTGATGAAGCTGAAAATATTAAGGTCTACCTCAATGCCATGTGAAAAGGCTTTTGAAAGATCAAACAGCTTTAGCAAATGATATATCTGATAAAGGGTTAATAACCAAAATACAAAAGAAACTTCTATAACTGAGCCAGAAAACAAACCATCCTATTAAAAAAATAGGCAGAGAACCTGAACAGTTGTTTTTCCAAAGAAGACATACAGGTGGCTCACAGACACATGAAAAGATCAGGGAAGTATAAGTTAAAACCACAATGAAATCTGACCCTTCTCAAAATGGCTAGCAACAAAAATATAAAAATAACACGTGCTGGTGAGGATGTAGAGAAAAGGGAACCCTCATGCACTGTTGGTGGGAATGCAAATGAAACAGCCACTGTGGAAAGCAATATGGAGGTTCCTCAAGAAATTAAAAATCCAGTAATTCCAGTAATTCCAGTATTGGGCATTTACCCAGAGGAAATGAAAACACTAACTCAAAAAGATACAGGCACTCCTATGTTTATTGCAGGATTATTTACAATAGCCAAGACATGGAAGCGACCTAAGTGTCCATCAATAGACAAATGGATAAGCAAAGTGTGGTGTACATATACAATGGAATATTACAAAACCATAAAAAAGGATGAAATTGTGCCACTTGAGACAACATGGACAGACCCAGAGGGTATCAGGCTAAGTGAAACAAGTCAGACTGAGAAAGACAAATATCATACAACTCCACTTGTAAATGGAATCTAAAAAACATGAATAAACAAACAAAAAGCAGAATCAGGGCACCTGGGTGGACCAGTCAGTTAAGTGTCTGACTCTGGATTTCAGCTCAGGTCATAATCTCACAAGTTTCATGAGTTCAAGCCCCATGTAGGCTCTGTGCTGACCGTGTATAGCCTGCTTGGGATTCTCAATCTCTCTCTCTCTCTCTCTGTGTGTGTGTGTGTGTGTGTGTGTGTTCCTCCCCTGCTCTCACTCTCTCAAAATAAATAAATTTTTAAAAAATTAGAAAAAAAGGAAGAATCAGACATATAAATACAGAGAATAAAGCTGATGGTTGCCAGAGGGAGGGATGGGAAGGGTTGGGCAAAATGGGAAGGGGGGAGGGAGATACAGGCTCCCAGTAATGAAATGACTAAGTTACAAGAATAAAAGGCAGAATGTAGGAATACAGTCAGTGATACTGTAATAGTGATGTAACAGGTAGATACACTTGTGGTGAACATAGTATAACATATAAACTTGTCACATCACTAAACTGTACACCTACCTGAAACTTAAGTAATGTTGTGTGTCAACTATACTCAAAAAAACATCAAATAGTCGTAACTTTTATAATATTCATAGTGAATTACAAAGATAAGTGCTACAGAATAGTCAAGGGAAACTAGAGTTTCACACAGTCACTAACTACTACTACTACTGCTACTACTAAAAGAAGAGTAAGAGAGAAACTAGTATGTAACCTAATTTTAAAAAAGGTATCACATCTGTACATTAACATCTATAAAGGCAGGGATTTTTCTGTTTTGTTCACTGTACTATTCCCAGCACTTAGAAGAATAAGTGCTAATTAGACATTTGTTGACTAAATAACGGTTACAATTCATACTGCTAAATACGTTTACAATTAAACATTATAGTTATAAAATTATAAACATTTATAAATAATTGTGTTTATAATTATAAACTCTATTGAGTTTCAACAGAGTCCAATCTTTAAAGCACAACTGAGTGTAAAGATATGCAACCCTCCGTTAAATAAGCTTATGGAAATCCTGGCCACTTGGATCACAAAGCATGATGGATGGATGGTATCTCTAATTGTAGGCAAAGCAACAGAGGGATGTGTACACCTCAATCTTTAAACTACCTTGAGCTAGCATTTTATTTCTATTAGGTCCTGTCTTATTTTGGAACTCAGAGTCTTCTGATTTTACATACTAAAAAAGAATATGCTTATTATAGCTGACCCTTGGAAAACATGAGATTGAACTATATGGATCTGCTTACATGTGGATTTTTTACAGTATGGTAAATATATTTTCTCTTCCTTATGATTTTCTTAACACTTTATTTTCCCTAGTATTATATACTATACAGTATATAATACACAAAGCATACACTGTATGTTAATCAATGGTTTAGCTTATCTGTGAGGTTTCCAGTCAATAGTAAGCTACGAATTGTTCAATTTTGGGGGAGTCATAAGTTATACCTGGATTTTTGACTGTCTGGAGGTTGGTTCCACTAATCCCCTGCCCCCATGTTGTTCAAAGGTCAACTGTATTTTGTAATTAGCACAACAATCACTTAAAGACCAGGTTTCCCTAATTTCCCCACACTATTTCCTATTAATCTACTTCTGAGGCTCTTGTCATACAGACGCAACTGCTAGTTCCCATACACTTTCTGTACTAACACTCACTAATCTCTTTACCCTTGTTTATGCTTTTTACACTTCGTCTCCAACCTGGAAGGCCTCTCTAAGATCTTCCCATATTTAAATCTCCCAAACTTTTTTAAACGACCACCTTAAACGGCATCTTCTTTCTGAAAATTTCCAGATGTCCTTCAAACAGAAGTATAACACTTTCTTTATACAATATTCCTTATCTAACTCAGAAAGCCTAATGTGTTTCAGAATACAGAATGCTTGGGATTTTTGGAAAATAGTGAGCAAATATTATATAACAACTCCAGGAAAGTCAGAGGCAGCATCCTGTTATCAAAGACCTTAACAGCCTTCTGCCAGTTCTGAACAGGTTTGTTTACCATATGAGATTACTGTAAATTCATTTACAAAACTTGGATTTTCAGATCTTTTTAGAGATTCTGGAATGATAGATAAGGGATTCTGGACCAGTATTTCTTTTCTTAAACATATCATTTCTTATTTTATCCATGCTCATTGTACACTATAAGCTCCACAAGGATCTTCGATTCAACTCAGCATATACAGCCTTCAACTGTTCAAATATACATTATATAAAAAAAAAATATTACTGAAGCAAAATACAAAAAAAAAACTTTCTGACGCAAATATGGAAAAATGTTAAGATTTTATAAACCTGAGTGTAGAATATTCATTAAATTAACAATCTCTGTAACAGGGTGAAATGTTTTGAGCTTCCTTCATATTTTAGAAAATTGATTTTATCTTTTCTTACCTATTTCAAAAATTAAAAAGATTGAAAAGGAAATATCTAGCAAAAAATAATAGGCCATTATGGCTTCCTGAGGCTATGTTGTGAAAGATGGATTAAATTTACTTAAAAAAAAAATTTTTTTTAACGTTATTCATTTTTTGAGAGACAGAGAGAGACAGAGCGTGAGGGGCAGAGAGAGCATGAGGGGCAGAGCGGGGAGGGGCAGAGAGAGAGGGAATACAGAATCCGAAGCAGGCTCCAGGCTCTGAGCTGTCAGCACAGAACCCGACATGGGGCTCAAACTCATGGACCAGGAGATCATGACCTGAGCCGAAGTCGGATACTTAACCGGCTGAGCCACGCAGGCACCCCTAAATTTAACTATTTTTATGTATCCCAGTTCATATAGAACTTCTTTATGCAATATTTTGCCTCCTTGTTCTTTCACTGTAGATTTTTAGTCCAAACTATTTTCTATTTACCGTATCAGGACCACAAAAATGGTCAGCATGCAATGTATAAAATGAAAATCAAAATTTGAAATTTCAATCAAAACTAATATGTAAATTTGAAAATATTATGTATTGCCTTTATTTGCTTAAAAAAAAGGTATCAAACTTGAAAAATAATTACTCAGCCAATGATACCAGCACATCTCTTTCACAAATGTTAATGTAACAAATGAACTATTTACATGAACCAATTGCACAGTTGATTTATAAAATTTCTTAACTAGAAAGGATCTCCGTCTAACACCTTACATGAAAGAGGGCTAGAGTAACTGAATGTCAGACTGTCACAGAGGGAGAATAAAACAGGCATTCTGACACCATATCCAGTTCTTTATTATACCACTGTGCTAAATACTCAAATGTTTTTAATTAAAGTTTTTGCCATAGTATAATTTTCAAGTTACATAAACAGCTTGAATATTTCCAGTCATTGGATACATTATATTCAATTATCTACTGTTCTCAAAAAGTTTTTCTATATGTTTACTATAAGCAGTAAACAATAATCCTAATACTTCTAACCATTAAACAACACATGTTTTCACTAGGTAACTGACAAATCTAGCAGAAGCAGCACCAAAACCTGGAAGTAAAGGGATCTGACTTCTAGACTAACACTTCCTCCATGTATTTCACAGGTAGATTTTGAAAATTATGTAAGATAGAATGTAAAAGTGCTTTGGGACTATCAAAAGCTCTTTATGCACACAAGGTACTTGTTAGTAGATGAGGGCATACTGACTTTTAAATACAAAATTTGAGGGAACTCCTCTTAGAAAAGTGATAAGAAAATAGTATAATTACAGGGCTACTTAATAGTTAAGCCCTTTTCATGAACTTTAAATTGGCCAGCATTTGTGAGATTACTTGTGATATCATGAATACAGATTTTACTTTTAATGTATAGACTTTATAAATTACAGGAAATACAAAACCTTTAAGCCAGCAAAGTGGCTTTCTCCTAGAAATAATATAAACTCAATCTAGTATGTCTTCTATTTACAACATTAAGTCAATTATGTAGGAACAATTTCAGCTCAGAAAATTATAGAATTATGTCATACCAGGACAGCTAGAAACAGGTGTTCCCATATTAATAAGGCAAAGCGCACATCGAGGAAGGGGTTTTCGACAGCCAGGGCAGCTTGTGACTTTAGATTTTGTTGGTGAACCGCTGACACCGTACTGACTAAAACCTCTGCCCTGATGAGGCACAGTTGAACAGCTGTAGGAGATCGACTTGCCACAGAAATTGCAACTCACAAACACCTATACAAAATGAAAGGAGGGATAAATATCATGCAAATTTTACAAATAAAATAAATTTAAAGTTTGATCCTAACAAATTACTCTTAAATAACTGTTAAACTTTATTTTATATTATAAAATAATTTGTTATCTGCTAAGTTTAACCAGCTCCCATTTGAGATTTCCACTTAGCAGTTATGTTATATGAATACTTCTTCTGTTACCTCTGTTTAGTTATATTTCTCCTAATACTACTAGTATCTGTAGAAAAGCCTAGAAATATTAGATAATAACATTTTAGAAATAACAAAGACTTTAGAATTCACTTTGAACATTACAAAATAACCCATTTTAACTTCTGATCCACAGTTCAATGATTTGATCTCCTGAACAAAATATTCTCATAAAGAAAGCACTCATTTCCTAAGACAAAAGGAGTTAAGGATCCTAAAATGTCAAATAGTTAGAATTTTAGAATAATAGCAACAGAAAAGTGTTCATTTTGCCATTACGTTAAATTCCTAAGCTCTTGGGGCGCCTGGGTGGCGCAGTCGGTTAAGCGTCCGACTTCAGCCAGGTCACGATCTCGCGGTCCGTGAGTTCGAGCCCCGCGTCAGGCTCTGGGCTGATGGCTCGGAGCCTGGAGCCTGTTTCCGATTCTGTGTCTCCCTCTCTCTCTGCCCCTCCCCCGTTCATGCTCTGTCTCTCTCTGTCCCAAAAATAAATAAACGTTGAAAAAAAAAATTTAAAAAAAAAATTAAATTAAAAAAAATAAATTCCTAAGCTCTTAAACACTTACACAGATTAGTAACAAATATTACCATGCAATGTTATTTTACAAATACTTTGGTTGTTTTAATATAATCACTAATTTCTCAACTTTCTAAAATAAGAAAATAGCACCATCCAGTGCTCACATTGAGGATATACCTGATATCTAATGTCTGAATTTAGATACAGTGATCTCATGGAATATGCTTTATGTGATAACTGACCTAAGATTTTTAAACTAATGCTAAAAGAAAAAAATGTCCATGTCTAATTAAACATATGTATATACTGTTAGAGAAAAAAGGAAATCCTGCCTTATTACACATATATCAATAGGAACTTAATATAAGCAAAAGGATGAGCTAATAATAATTTATTAAATTGAACTCTAAATTTACCCAATATGACATGCTGTAAACACTTCTATTTTGGGCTGGGTTATTAAGTACATGTTACAATTTGATTCTCTCCAAAATATTGTACTTACCTGTGCTAAAGGTTTAGAACTGGGATCCAACTTACTCCTGTGAATATCAAACTCAGCTCGTTTGTGCCAAAACCTCCAGGCATCTAATAAATTTCTATAATTCTCAATCCAGTACTGGACTCTTTCATCTTTAAGAACATCTAAAGGAGAACCCTAAAATGAAAACATGAATTAATACAATTGTTTAAAAACTTCCTGGCTAAGTCAGAAAATTGCAGGTAACATGTGAGTATGAGTCGCACAGATGAAATAGGCTCCCTTTTTGCCAAAAGCTGATTCCTAATGAGGATACGGACAAAATAATTGGCGGAAGCTTCTTTAATTTACTTTAAGCTGGCCTCTACTAATGACATAAATATGTACTATATATATTATCATTATACCTGGCCAGGAAAGTATAATGCTGTATCTCTTACTTAAGTTGAAGGATCCAAGAGGAAACAATTCACTTTCCTACTTGAATACAGTACAAAGTGATGTGAATACTCTGTCCCCAAAATTAAAACCTCTGCCTTCACAAAATCTGTTTACTGTTTAATCTAAAAGCATACCAAAATAGCTCCATCACATATAAAATAATACTGAGCCTTGTCCTTTGGATCTAGCAGTGTACTGTGAATGCAGATGCTATTTTTTGTATACCTATTTATCTGAAAGTTAAACCTGTCTATTCTCTCTCTTGCCCTCAATCAAAACATACATTTACTACCTTCAAAAAAAAAAAAAAAAAAAAAAAAAAAAACACACAAAAAAAAACCCAAACCAAAAATGTTCTTCATTCTTTTGCCCCTAGGCCACAGTGAAAAGCAACAGTTTCTTTACCTTAAACTTAGATTTCTTCTCATTACGAACTTCAATTTCTTGCCAGTAAGGCTCTTCCTAAAGCTGTATTCTCCCTGGCAGCTGTGACATTTCACATTTCACCTGTGCTTATTTTGGGTTTGCACAGAATGCTTTTAGCCCTGTCCAGCATATCTTCCTTAAGTTCACATGATGAAGAAAGTAGAGAAAGTCTCAGCCTCCAATGACGCCACGGGCATCAGTAATGAAGCCCAGGTTTCCCAGTTTTAGGGAGCCAGATAGAAAAGTAAAATGTTAGAACTTAGCATCTTACTAATGGAAAAAGGGAAGAAACCTGTAACAGCTAATAGACAATCTATCTTTTAACATTCTATCAAAACAGAAGAAGCTTATCTTTCACCTATTAATTAGGTATTAATTTCAATTAAATTCAGGGTTAAATTCAGCAAAAAAAATATGTGAAAAACTCTTGGCTGACAATTTCATTTCTTAAAAAAGTAAACATCTCCTCTAGTCCTAATAATGACCAACTAGCCAAAACTAAGTGCTAAAGTAGAGTATAATCCCTAGTTTAAAAAGAAAATTCACAGAAAAATAAATCTTCATATCCCACGCTTCCCCAATTTGGTCAATTCATATTTGATAAGTCTTCTCTAGATCTGCCCCCCAAAAATCTAAATTTAATCTCCAACAAAATGTGCAATGTAAACAGTTCAGAGATTATGACTGGAAAGGCTTGAGAAATACCCCGGGCTTTCCAAAAATCCATAGTAAGAAAATCTAAGACCAAAGTGAGCAGCTAGTAACTGAACTTCCAAAAGCATTAACCAACATTCTTCAGGAAAAGGTAAAAGAACCCAGATCTCTATAATGTACTATACACAACATCCAGTATTCAAATGAAAAACCACCAGACATAAACAGGTAAGTATAGTTCAAAGTCAAGGAAAAAGGCAGTCAACAAAAACCAAATCTAAAACACCCCACATTAAGAGAGTTAGCAGGAAAAATCATAAATGCAACCATTAAATATATGTTCAAAGACTTAAAGGAAAAGTAGAGTTTTTGTTTTTTGTGTGTTTTCTTGTTTTTTTTTTAATTTTTTTTTTCAATGTTTATTTATTTTTGGGACAGAGAGAGACAGAGTATGAACGGGGGAGGGGCAGAGAGAGAGGGAGACACAGAATCGGAAACAGGCTCCAAGCTCTGAGCCATCAGCCCAGAGCCTGACGCGGGGCTCGAACTCACGGACCACGAGATCGTGACCTGGCTGAAGTCGGACGCTCAACCGACTGCACCACCCAGGCGCCCCTCTTGTTTTTTTTTTAAATGTTTATTTATTTTGAGAGAGAGGGAGAGCACATGCGTGTGCGTGAGTGGGGGAAGGGCAGAGAGAGAGAGGGAGATAGAAAATCCCAACCAGGCTCCTCGCTCAACACAGAGCCCAATGCAGGGCTCAATCTCAGGACGGCGAGATCATAACCTGAGTCAAAATCAAGAGCCAGGCACTTAACTGATTGAGCCACCCAGATGCCCCAGGAAAAATGTTTTAATCAGCGTACAGATAGGGATCTGAGTGAAAAATGTAAACTATATAAAAATTAAGACTCTAGAACTCAACGGTACAAGAGCTGAAAATCTTCTCCTCAGGTGACGTTAAGAGTCAATGAACAAATCACAGCATTTAAACAATTTGAAGAACTTCACAATCTAATGAGAAACAATGACTTGCAGATCAGTGAACCACAAGCAGGACAAAAAGAACTACAACTAAACATCAAGGGTAAGCTGCTGAAAACCAAAAGCAGCCCAAGGAAAAATGAAACATTACACAGGGGAGACATTAATAATAATGGTTGACTTTTCTTCATAAACAATGGAGGCCAGAAAACTATGAAACGACACCTTTAAAGTGCTGAACCAAAGCAAGAGTGAAATAGACATTTTCAGTTAAAATTAAGCTGAGAGGATCTGTCATCCATGAAACTGTACTACAAGAAATGCTAGAGAGAAAGACCAAAGAGAAATAATACAACGTGAAAATTGTGTCTATTGGAGGAAGTAAGCAGTCCCAGGAATGATAAATAAATAAATAAATGTAAAAGTCCATGTTTTCATTTTTCACATAATTTACATAAAAGACAAGTGACTGTTCAAAACAAATACAATAACACTGTTAGTTGAAGTTTATAAGGTATATAGAAGTAAAATAATAGGACAAAGGAAGGAGATGTGTAAATGGAATTACACTGTTGTAACATCTAAAAAGTGTGAAGTATGAAGATAAAAAGTGGAAACGTCAGGTGTGAGGTAAAAGAGAAAAAGTAGGAAACATGATGTGTTAGGTGTGAAATGTGAAGTATGCGGGGGTAAAAATGTTAACTGATGAGGCAGGGATGCATTTTTGTTAGACCAAGAACAACTACTTCAAAAAAATAAATAAATAAAAAAGATAACGACAGGTTAATAGTTAAAAACCCAGTGGGTGAAGTGAAACAATGAAATGTTCAATTAGATCAAAAGAAGGGAGGAAAGGGACAGAAGAACAAAAGGAAGAAGGAAAAATAAGATAGAGAACAAACAGCATGATGGTAGACTTAACCTTGATCATATAAATACAAATGGGGGAAACATCAGAATGGATTTTCTAAAAGCAAGATCCACTGTCTTTTATTATACACTGTCTGCATATTAACTATATTTTATAAATCTTGTTAAGAAGCTATCAACTCATTTGTACTTGGTAGTCATACTTCTCCAGTGTAATTTAACACATGTAATCTCATTTCAGTCAGACAAAATTATACATTATGTTACAGAAAGACACCTTTTCTTCCATGGACAGTGGCCTGATATGTTGGTAAGTATATTATAGTGTGGTTTGTGGGCCAGTATCTATATTTGTTCCTGAGATGGTAGGGGTGGGGAAGGGAGCATTCTACTACGTTTGCCCAGTACACAGCATGCTATCATATTGTATGAAGGGATGGGGACAGGAAAAAGGACACCATGAAAGGGTAAGAAGAGTTGGAGAGCTATAGGAAATCTCAGGGAAATGCTCTAAATTTTCATGGTATGTCTATCAAAAGTAAAGCAGAAGGAAACTTTTGCCAGAAATCTGTTTTTAACAGCTAACAGTAAACTACTAACAGTAAAAACTGAAAGTAAAGTGATGAACTTGTTACTCCAAATCATGCCCGTTGATAACAAAGAGCGAAAATGACGAGTTAAGAGAGTTGTGATATAACTTGCCTTCAGGACTTCAAGGGAGACTACAGTTCAGGTCACAGAAAGACCATCTCTTTCACAAAAGGTATAATTCTGTCAACTGGAGAAACTGGAGAGAGGTTTCTCTGCTCCATTTTAACTTTATATAAATTCAACACTGAAACTTCCCCAAATGAAAGGAATAACTGGATAACCCAAAGCAGGAGGGTGAGGGACACGAAGAAGTCCTCTATAGATCAAGAGATTGGGTTAAAGTGAAATGCCTCCTAAAGATCCTAAGCAAGCAAAAGGCATAACCATTCGATGAGGGAGGAAGGTGGTTAAGCACTATTTTTCTTTAAGCTGCCACCACACTGCACTAACCTGTAACATGCAGTAACTTGCTGTTTGGACGTCTCCAGTTCTATCGACATAACTCTCCATTAAGTCCACTCCATCTTTAGTAAGGCCTGTAAGCAGTATTCCTTCCAAATTTCCAGCCTCTTTCATTTCGTTGGTCAACTTTTCAATATACCTATTTAACTGGAAAATTCAAAGTGATTTTTCTGAATTAATATGTTTTACTATATACTTTGTACCTTCAAAACTTGTACTTTTAAAATAGTGCTATATTTATGGAAAACATTTTAAAACCAAAGCCCTTGCAAAAATCTAGATATGATCTCTAAGAAGTCTGCATCTATCATAAACTACAATGCAGAATCCATGATCATTTAAAACACTTTTTCAAAACAGCAAGACATTTATTGTTTTAATAATTATTCTACAAAAGAACTACAGAGTTTACTATTTTAAACTTAAAGAGAACTGTCCTCATTATTCTGCCAAGTTCTTGCTGTAACAGAATTGGAGTTGAAAGGGAACTTTAAGATTATCAAAAATAACATCTCTTGGTAAGGTGTTCCCTGGCCTCATCCCACCCCAACCTGTAGCCAAGATTCCTCCGTTTTCCCTCAGCACTTTCTCATTATTGTAGCACTTAGCACATTATGTTACTCATTGTTTCTGTGCATTTCTCTCTCACTATACACATAGCATATGCATTTAATACTTGTTTACTGTATTAGGAAATGAAGGAATTCTCTTATGACATCCCTAAGGGGTGAGTTTAACATCTTTATCTATAGGCCAAAAGCAGAAATAAACTAAAATATTAAGTCAGCATTCTTACACAAGCAATTTTGGTTATGATACACAGGTTTACAATATCTTGACCCAACAAAGAATTATTAGTTTACTTTTTTAGAATAATTCATATATAAATGTCACATATACATATCTATACAAAAAGATTAATTTCCTAATGCAGTAAGAGTAAATATTAATAACTTCAAACATAGAATTGTATCAGTTTTTACCTGACTATCGCTAAGGAATTTACAAGCAAATGCCACTCTGTCACGTACAGCAACTTTGTTTTCATACTGAAAAGGAAAGAGCAAGGAGTTACTTGTAGGTGCTATGAGTTTTATATTTTTGCAGACTATTTTACATATCTAATACGCAATTTAATTTTCAAATGTTTTAGTAAGTTATTGAGTATATACTGGGAGAGCCACTGACTGCCTAAGATGCCTTTTTTTTTTTTTAAGTTTATTTATTTATTTTGAAAGACAGAGGGGGTGAACAGAGAGAGAGGAGAGAGAGAATCTCAAGCAAGTTCTGCACTATCAGCGCAAAGCCCAACACAGGGTTCGAACCCACGAACCATAAGATGATAACCTGAGCTGAGGTCAAGAGTCAGACACTTATCTGAATGAGCCACCCAGGTGCCCCTAAGATGTCTTTCTTCATGTAGCCCTCAGGAAACTCCATGCTAAGGTTATTATTCTTGCAAAGTAAAAATTTATGTCTAAAATACTGACCAATTCAGGTTAAAAATATTCCAGTTCAGTTTTACATAATTCCAACATAAAATGCAAGCAATAAAATATGGTTTATCAAATTTAAGATGCCATGTAATCCTTCCATTATAGAAATACATCTGGGGGAAACTGAGGAAATCTTTTCTGGGATGCTAAGTTAATCAACAAGTCTAGGAAATCTGTGAATTACCAGTGAATATACCAATACAGAATTTAAAAAGACTATCAATACATGTTTCTAAATACAAAGTAGAAAGTTTTAAACATACCCTTATAAATAAATAGATACACTTTTTTTTGGCCATAGTAAAATACTGCTATATTGGTGGTTTGTGGCAAAAATTTCAGGGGTACTGTGATACTTAAATTTTTGTAGACTTGTCAATATTGTAAAATACTATTTTGAATTTCTATAAATGTAGGAAGGTAATTAACTTTGTGCTAAATATAAAAGTTTAAAAGTGACTTCCATTGATTTCATCCTATGAGATATAGTTTTCCTGCTTTAAACATAAGACCGTTTCAACTGATACCTATCCTAACGTGCACTTCCAAGTATAAAATACGGTGCTGCATTTAAGATGGAACATGTTTCATGCAAACTAGATTTAACTCTTTAGATTCAGCGCATGTGTATAATTTTGATTGGAAAAGAATTATAAATATTATCTGTCCCATTTTACAGCTCAGAAAATGAAAACCCCAAAAGTAAACTGACTAGCTGAAGTAACTGTGCTGGAGCAAGGACTTTATGTTCGATTTCCCAATTCAGCACTTTTCATTAGATTACTGCAACTTAACAATTTTTAACAAAGGACACATTAATTATAATTATTAATACATAAAGAATAATTAGGCACACTCTCAAAAGAGTTTGGAAATATGAAGTTTCTACTTAAGGCAAGATATATCTTACTTAATAACCCAAATTTAGATATAAGAAAATAAGGGTATTTGTAATAGATCACTTAATTTAAAATACAGAAATTGAGTATTTAAACAATACTTCTCTATCAATTTAAAATATGAACAATCTGGGGCACCTGGATGGCTCCGTCAGTTAAGCATCTAACTTTGGCTCAGGTCACGATGTCACAGTTGGTGAGTTTGAGCCCTACATCGGGCTCTGTGCTGACAGCTCAGAGCTGGGAGCCTGCTTCAGATTCTGTGTCTCCCTCTCTCTCTGCCCCTCCCCGACTCATGCTCTGTCTCTATCACTCTCAAAAATAAACATAAAATTGAACAATCCACTTCTTCTTCTTGTCTTTACCATACTTTACTACTTCCTGAAAGTATTTCTCCAAAATACAACATTTTAAAGTCTTCTGTTTAACAAAAAAGAGTAATTACAGTAAAAACAAATAAAAAAAACTCTTGGATATTAATTTGAAGTGGTTAGAAAAGTTCAATAGTTCTTTTATTAGAAGTTAATGGACAAAATCCATAAACTAAGGAATTGCCAAAGTGGACATTAACAACATTTATTAAATTTTTCATTAAGATACCTCAATAAAATACATGTTTTTTTAAATTCTTAGGGCCTGACCCTTTAATCAATCATCCAAGCAATGTGTCTTTTATATGAAGTGCTATAATAGCAAACACAGAAATAAGTTCCATGTTAGAAAGCTCTTCTCAGTGGTAGAAAAGTATCCAACAATGCAAAAAAAAGTTATAGTACTAATGTGAAGCTTAAAACAGTATAACTGAAACAGATACGTACATCTCATTTCAATCTTCTGTCCCCACTTTGTGTAAAGAACTTATTTGGTGATATGGTTAGATACATATGTGGGTAAAGCAGGAGAAAAAAGTGATAGAGAAGACCAAATAATGAAAAAATGAAACAGTTCAGTATAAGTACTGTGATCATAGATCTTCCAAACTGTCTGTATGTCTGAGAATGCAAATACTAACTCAGATAAGTTACATGGTTATTCTAATCATAATTGATCATGTGTTTGTTTACTTAACTAAAAACAAAAACACACACTTTTAAAAATTTGCATTTTTGGGTGCCTGGGCAGTTCAGTCCATTAAGCATCCAACTCTTGACTTCAGCTCAGGTCATAATCTCATGGTTCATGGGTTTGAGCCCGTGCCGGGCTCCGTGCTGACAGTGCAGAGCCTGCTTGAGATTTTCGCCCTCTCTCTCTCTCAAAATAAATAAACTTTAAAAAATGCACTTCAATATGAAATTTATATTTATATAGTTGTATAATTCTAGAGCTGTTCTTAAGCTAAACAATAAAATCCTATTCCCTCTGTATCTGCAAATTATATTGTTAAAACTATTTAAAAAATCAAGTTTGTTATCAGGTATTTAACTGTAGAATGACATTCAAGAGCCGCCCAAAGATATTTAAGATACCTTATTTTAATACAAAATACATCAAAATATAACAATATTTCATGCAACAGACATTTGAACATTTTAACAAGGCTAGATAAAAACTTTTATTTTAAAAGGAACCTTGTCAAACAGAAATTAGCTTACCAATACTCCATCATAAGATCCTGTTTCACTTGTCAGAAATGCAAACATGACACACAGATATGGGTTATTTAACTGTAGTCGTAGAGTGCTGCACATTTCTCTCCAAAGGGAGTTTTTCTCATCTGTGTAACCCGATAAAGCCATTGCTACCACATTGAGATTCAGATCGCCTGCATGTTAAAAACAGTCAGCTAATCAAAGTAATCAAAAGCTTAATATCTCCTCTTCCAGTTCTTAAACCATAAACCAATAGACTGGAAGACAACATTTACCTACAGAAAAATAAGCCCACTAGAATAGGGGTTTTGGTCCAGACTGGAAAATTTGGCAAGGACCACGAGCAAAAATTTCTATTCTTATAAAACTGCTGCCAATATTACTAACCCTGTGCAGGACAAACACATCATTAAATTTTCAAGTTCTCATTCCAGGCAGGTTCCTATACCGTGTTATTGTGTAGGGTCTAAATGAAGAGAAGTGAAGCCATACTACCAGAATCATTGCCAGCCTTATCATGTTCATTTACATACAGATATTTCAGAACACTGATAATAAACATTACTGTACCTCAGGACTACAATTTTCAAAATAATTTTGTTTTCCTATTCCTAAATACAGAATGCACATACTTAAGTATATGTTCTGAAAGCCATTATTTTAGCATTCTTATTATAGTATTATACTTTTAATTTTTCTAGGGCAAAATTAACTATCAAAATTAACAGAGTAACATTGTATTTAGACACATTTGCAACAAAGCATTTGTTACCAATAGTCTTCTAAATTGCAGTTTTTAGCAGTTCATACAGCCATGGATAAGCTGCTAAACTGGCAGTTAGCCCTATGACTGCTTGGCCATCTAAGTTCAGCTTCAGAAAAGAAAACTAAATTCACCTTTAACTTTTGAATATTTTCTACATTATAGCAATTTTCTTATTCTGTTCCTTGAGACTGATCATTTTCTTTCTTTTCCAAATAAAACAGCATTTCCCACTTTATGTTCTTAAATAGCCTTGCTCTTCATTCCTATGAACACTTTCCCCAAGTTACTTTGTGCTTGCTTCCTCTGCCTACTCTATTAAATTAGATTTAAAGTCTTTTGAGATAAAAACAACCACCCTCACAACCAAAGAATATCTTTGTGAATCCTGCTTAAAACAATTTATTTCCAAGTGGAAAGGAGTATTTGACTCAGAAAATCTTTTCTTTAGTCCTTAACCAATTTATTAAAATCACAGGAAATATACTTTCCCTATTGATAGTATGGGTGTTTAAATCTAACACCAAATTCTCCAGGCACACATGATAGGGAGGCATCAAGCTCTCAGGTTATACGAAAATTATAATTACAAATGGCTTAAATATCGATTCTTTTTTTCATCTCCACATTATCTTCTATTGCTCTCCCAAATGGGGAAGACTTACACTGGAGCAAAAGTGAAGGAAAAGAGGCCAATCTGGGCAAAACATTAGTTTTTCAAACTTTTTTAAACTGCAAGCAAATACATTACAATTATTTGCATGTTTTTCTCTGTGGTACAATAGAAATGTAATGTTTTCAAAATGGACCATCAAATAAGAATTACACATTCTGAATATTCAGAAATAATTTGGTAGGTGTATTAAAAATCAAAAGCTATATATAATCTTAGTTACTTTCAACTGAAATATTCCTGATAAGGAAAAAACTGCATGTCTAGACTGAAATTTATTTGCCCACGTATTCTCTTGCAAAATGTCAGAGTAAAAACTTTACATTTCACTGTTTCTTCCTTTTAAAAAATATTACTATTTTTTACTATACTATTTATGCTATTACTATAAAATTATGTTTAAGTCACCAGACTCCAGTAAAAGCATTTTTGCAGATCAAAGTATGATTTTTATAAGAATCTGTATTAGTCTAACTAAAGTGTCACTTAGTTTCCTAAAAGTCAACCAATAACCATCCGAAAGATGATGTATAAAATACAAATGTTTGCCATAAGAATGCCTGCAAACTGAAGTAGTCCAATCTCCAATACATTTTTAAGAATGTATGTGAACCATCTTTAAAAGAAAAAAAAAACATTAAAAGGGACACATTTGAGCATTTACTGTTAACATCATTAAAATGGTACTTAAGACACATTTTCTTTTTTAGACATAAACCAAAGCATAAACATAAGAGATGGGATATCTACTTTCACAGATACAGTTCTGTGCTCACTACTCTTTCAAAAAAAATTATCTAAAAATACTGATTAAATATTTTAAAGTTATCAGCATCTTTAAAGGATTCTATGAACTGCAGTCATCTTAGAATATAACCTAATACCTTTTTCTGAAGATGCTCCTTCATTCAGGATTTGGATTGCTCGTCGAATATCCAAGTTGAACAATGCCACAGCAGCAGCTCTCTCCCATTCCCCTTCTTGTACAAGGGAGTTCAAAAATGGCCCCACATCTACATCCGTTCCTTTCTTTATCCACCCGCAAAGCTGTAAAGCTAAAATTCTCTCTTCATTTAAATTCTGAGTATCAGTTTGCTTATCCAAACCGCTCCAATTATGTCTGCTACTTTCCACCATTCCTAAAAAAGATAAGTATTTTTATATTAGTTGCTTTATTACTATATTTTGAAATATATTTAGGAAGTAAGTCCGGGGATGCCTGGGTGGCTCAGGCAGTTAAGCATCCGACTTCAGTTCAGGTCCTAATCTCATGGCTTGTGAGTTTGCGTCCCACATCAGGCTCTGTGCTGACAGCTCAGAGCCTGGAGCCTGCTTTGAATTCTGTGTCTCCCTCTCTCTCTGCCCCTCCCCTGCTCACACTCTGTCTCTCTGTCTCAAAAACAAACATTAAAAAAAAAAAAGTAAGTCCATTTTACACAGAAATATTTCAATATTACACTCTGGATATTTGACTTTTTTAAGTGTATTTTTTAAACTTATTTTGAGAGAAAGAGAGAGAGAGCACGAATGCAGAAAGGAGCAGAAAGAGAGGGAGAGAGAGAATCCCAAGCAGGCTCCAGTGCTGTCAGTGCAGAACCTGACAGGGCTCAAACTCATGAACCATGAGATCATGACCTGAGCCGAAATCAAGAGTGGAACCCTTAACAAATGAGCCACCCAGGTGCCTCTGGATATTTGACTTCTTAACCACAAATTCATGACAGCATAAATGTAAAATATGCCACAAACAAAACATGCATTACATGTTGTTAACTACAACAGTTACTTGAGATACCAAAAGAGCTACTGGAAGAACAATTAATGCTTGATGGACTGAGCTGCTGCTTCAGAGAAGCTTCCCTGACCACCTAATCTAAGAGTGTCACCTGCTATTATCTAATGTAACACTGTTTCTTCGATTTCCCTTAGACCTAATGTAAGCTCCCATATTTTATTAGTTTTCAGTCTTATCTCTTCTCCTACTAGAATATATGCTTCAAAAGGGCAGGTGTCTTGTTTCTACTTGAAAGATTATCTCCAGTGCTTAGAATTCAATAGACTGACTCTCCCTCTCCGACTTTCTCTCTTTGTATGTATGTATGTATGTATGTACGTATGTATGTGTGTGTGTATATGTGTGTGTGTATATATATATATATATATATATACACACACAGGTATATAAGTATATATATATATATATATATATATATATATATATATATATATATATATATACAGGGGCACCTGGGTGGCTCAGTTGTTAGGTGTCTGACTTCGGCTCAGGTCATATTTTCATGGTTCGTGGGTTCGAGCCCCACGTTGGACTCTGTGTTGACCGCTCAGAGCCTGGAGCCTGTTTCAGATTCTGTGTCTCCCTCTCTCTCTGTCCCTTCCCCACTCATGCTCTGACTCTCTCTCTCTCTCTCTCTCAAAAATAAACATTAAAAAAATTATATACATATATATGAAAAAATGAGATCGTAAATACCAAAGTACTCTGAAAGTGTGAAGTAAATACTAAAGCTAAAACAGAATGGGAATTATTTGAAGGTTTCTTCCCCTTCACTAAATCAAAAGATTTTATATATTCTCATTCTCTTTTCAGAAGGAATCTAATTCTTCGAGTATTAGATTGTAATCAAGGCAGATGATCCTAATGGCACTAAATAAAGGTGAAACAAATAGAAATAAAACCTGACTCCTATTGCATATCAAATCCTTAAATGTTCTAGAAAGTTGTACCATCAAAATTGTCATTATAGAATTATCTGTTATTTTAACAAAAAGGATTTTCAGAATAAACTCAGTTATGAGTTAGGCAGCAAGAATGTTTAACATTATAAACATCTTTTATTATAACTTTTATACTTACATATAATACATAATTATACCTTTGTAAATAACTAGATCAATAGGTTTTAAGAAATAATTCCATTTGTCTGTGGTAGGCAGAATTATAAATTGGGCTCCATGATTCTTGCCCCCTAGTATACTCTTGTATAATCCCCTCCCCTTGTGTACAGGTGAAATCTGTGACTTGCTTCTCAATTACACAATATAGTACAAGTGAAAGCATTTTGCAGATGTAATAAAAGGTCATTACTTAGTTGACTCTGAGTCAATGAAAGGGAAATTATCATGTGTGGGCGTGACTTAACCACGTTAATACCTTCAAAAGAGTCCAGAGAAAATGAGAGAGGTTCTCCAGCTATACTAGAAGTAAAAGCTGCTTTGTTGTGAGAAGGCTGTGTGGCAAGGAAGCGTGAGTAGCCTCTAGGAGCTGAGGACAGCCCCTGGCGACAGCCAGCAAGGACAATTCTGCCCTACAAGTTCAAGGAAACAATTCTGTCAATAAGCATATGAGCTTGGAACAATACTCCAACCTCCAAGAAACGACCAAAGCCTGGCTAACATCTTCATTTTAGCCTTGTGAAACCTAGAGCAGAGGACCCAGTGAAGCCATGCCAAGACTTTAGACCATGGAAATGATGATATTTGCATAATATAAAAACTAATATACTGTCCAAAGTTGACTTTATACTCTTCTGAGAAAAGAATTAAAGAAATGAACACAAGCAAAATTGGGAAAATATTAAAAACTGAATCAATTGCCATTTGCAAATCAAATACATATATAAATAATGCAAAGCATTATTTCTTAGTCCATTTAATCTAAATACATGGGTAGAGTAAAATTAGTATATAGTGAATGTCTAAATACATGAGTAAAGAGTAAAATTAGTATAACAGCAAAAGTCTAAACTCTCCAAACCTAATTCACACTTTTATTTATTTTTTATTTTTTTTCAACATTTATTTATTTTTGGGACAGAGAGAGACAGAGCATGAACGGGGGAGGGGCAGAGAGAGAGGGAGACAAAGAATCGGAAACAGGCTCCAGGCTCTGAGCCATCAGCCCAGAGCCTGACGCGGGGCTCGAACTCACGGACCGCGAGATCGTGACCTGGCTGAAGTCGGACGCCCAACCGACTGCGCCACCCAGGCGCCCCTAATTCACACTTTTAAATAACTTCCTTCATTATATGATGTTAGGCCATGGCAAAAGCTCATAATATTATTCATGGTAGGACATATTTTAAGCTATATATCATTGCTTTATAAAAAAGTTTCAAGATGAGTTATTTGTAAAATCTGGAAATTAAAAAAAACAGTTAAATATATACACGTGAAATTATTTATTTTTAACCTTACTGCTGAAAACTGTTGCCGTTAAGTCAAGGGGTCAGGAGGAAACTTCTGAAAAGTTTTCTTCCCTTAAGAGAACCACCTGCCCATTGAAAAGAGGAAGCATGCTGCTCTATTTGCAACCATGAAGAAAGTTAGTCATGACAAAATCACTTTTAGCTTATGAAAGTGAACTTTTAAGAACTGTTATAAAATTCTGAATAAGGTTAAAGCATGTTAAAAATTAAATACAACAGGGACACCTGGGTGGGTCAGTCACTTAGGCATCCGACTCTTGAGTTTGGCTTGGGACATGATCTCTCAGTTCATGAATTTGAGCTACACGTCAGACTCTGCACTGATGGTGCGGAGCCTGCTTGGGGATTCTCTCTCTCCCTCCCTCTGCCTCTGCTCTTCCCATGCTCTCTCTCAAAATAAATAAATAAAAACTTAAAAAAAAGCTAAACACAACATTTTTCTGAATAACAAATTTACATTTAGATAAAATGTAGCTATTAAATTTTAAGAATAAGCTGTAGATGTACCATTTGGTATTTATTTTTGTATCTCTCCTATAAATTTTGGATTGAATGCTGAGGATATTAAAAGGTAAAAATGACTATTTCAGGGAAACCTGGGTGGCTCAGTTGGTTATGCATCCAACTCTTGACTTCGGCTCAGGTCATGATCTCACGGTTCCTGAGTTCGAGCCCTGCATCAGGCTCTGCATAGACAGTGCAGAACCTACTTGGGATTTTGTCTACCTCTCTCTCTGCCCCTCCCTTGCTTGCTATGTCTCTCTCAAAATAAATAAACTTTTTCTAAAAAAATAAATAAATAATAACTATTTTAGGGGCACATGGGTAACCAACCACATGAGTTGGTTAAGTATCTGACTTTGCCTCAGGTCATGATCTCACCATTCCCAAGCTTGAGCCCAGTCAGGCTTTGTGCTGACAGCTCAGAGCCAGGTGCCTATTTCAGATTCTGCGTCTCCATCACTCTCTCTGCCCCTCCCCAACTCACACTCTCTCTTCTCTGTCTCAAAAATAAACAAACATAAAAAAGACTATTTAAAAATTGTTTAATGTTTATTTATTTTTGACAAAGAGAAAGAGAGACAGACAGACAGACAGACACAGTTTGAGCAGGGGAAAGGCAGAGAGACAGAGAGGGAGACTCAGAATTTGAGGCAGGCAGGCTCTAGGCTCTGAGCTGTTAGCACAGAGCCTAATGTGGGCTTGAACTCACAAACTGTGAGATCATGCCTTGAGCCGAAGTCAGACGCTTAATGAACTGAGCCACCCAGGCACCCCCCAAAAAAGGATTATTTTAAACAGGTGAACAAAAAGCAGCAATTTATTTTTCAAACAAATTCTCACAGTGTAATAATATTTGAGTTTCTTAGAGTTTTTATTTTACAGAAATTGTGCCATGGAATAAAGATGAATACATACAACTCCAAAGAGTTCAGTACTACAAAGTGGAAATATGTCCTGTAAGTCAAGTGCATGGATACCACGTCATGTATTTTGCCTGATCTTTTGGCCTTCTTATGGCTTGATAACTATGCAACTGGTAATTAGGGTTATCAAATAAGCAGCGTGATATTACTGTGCATTTTTAAGTATATAGTCATTCTTTTTAACAAATATAAATTTTAAAATTTATGATTTTAATTTATCTCTGAAAAAGAATTAAAATGTATTTACACATGTCTTTCAATACTAAAAGAACAAAACTATATCCCTTAAATTTAAGACTAACCTATATATATAAATAGAATCGATGTTTTATTGACAGGCGCAAGAGAAACAAGTTCACTTAAACATTAAAAAACATGTTTAGTTTGTGAGGGAGGAATTAAGATGGTGGAGTAAGTAGTAAGGGGACCCCAGGCTTGGGGATCTCGTCCCTTAAACACAGATCAACATCAAATCATATGAACAGC